AAAAAAAAAACTTCTGTTATATTCCTTTTCTTCTCTCTTCCTCACAGAACCCTGGCTTCCTGCTTATCCTGCCTTCCTTCTCCTAGCTCTTCTAGCACACATATGAAATGAATGATAAAATTATTTCTGCTGTTAAGAAGATTATAGCTACTTCCACCAATGACAATACATTGGGGGCATTTTGGGTGGAATTAGTTACTTTCAAGTGATATTAATTATTATCTAAACATTGTGATTGGTTTTCCATCTTATCTCTGTGGTTTATTTGCTTAGAATCAGCCAGAGTTCTTTTTAGAAATCTACTCTTTTAGATGATTATACCATGATTTTCTTTATTTGTTCAATTCTATGCCAAGTTGAAATGCTAACTGGAAAATGGAAAACCAGATATCTGTATTGAGAGGAGGATGTAAAAACCAGTCTGCTCAGTCTTTTACTTTTCTGCATAAAGAATAAATACCTCTGTAGATTTTGATACTCATGAATTGAATATCTTCTACATGTACCAAATAACATTTTTCGCCCTTTTACCTGTAATCTTTTCTTTACCCACAGGCTGGCAAAATCCAGTTTGGCTATGTATATGGGATCAGTGCAATTGGATGTCTAGGAATGTTTTGTTTATTAAACTTAATGAGTATGACAGGGGTTTCATTTGGTTGTGTGGCAAGTGTCCTTGGATATTGTCTTCTTCCCATGATCCTACTTTCCAGCTTTGCAGTGATATTTTCTTTGCAGTAAGTACTGATCTTTATTTTGGGGTTTGATTGACCAATTCTGTGTAATAGTATTCACCTCACCTTTAATTTGAGACAAATCACTGATCCAGCAAACATATCAGATAGTGCCTCTAGTAGGTAAGGAGTATGCTATGTGCTTTTGAGTAATGCACAGTGGAAATAAGAATAAATATAAAAATCTTTTATACCATTTCTATTTTCACCTATGATCAAGAATTTCACTAGTTTTGTATTTACATTAAAGTGTTATGCTTACCCTCTTTGATATTTTTTAGATTGTATCTGATTTCTTGAAGCTGTTGGGCATAGGCCAAGTGTATGAATAATAAATGCATACTTTCTATTTGGTAGTTTTTTAACTGAAAATGAAATGTATTGTTTTTATGACAAGAGGCTGTTACTAGCCTGCTATGTTCTCTGATGTACCTATAAATAGCTTTAAATATTTCAAAATTATATTTTAGGTTAGGTTATAAAGAAAGGTGTAAATTACTACTGCTGATAAAGTTCCTCCTTCTGGGCAGTGTGCAGATTCTCTCAACAGTTCAAGCTCCTCCTTGTGGCTAGTGGTGGACACTACCAGTTATTGGGCTTTGTTATACTTAGAAAGTTAAAGTGCAGGTTTATGAGAAGAGCACATGTCAACTATTTGTCTTCTACAAGAAATTTGGCAAGATGATGGCTTTACAGTATTGCTTTGGATAAAAGTGTTTCAGATTTTCAGTGTAGAAACTGCTTCACTCTTCTCATTTGTTAAGAATTGATATTTTTATATTTGTATTTTATAGAACTGGTTATTTTCTACTAAAACAGTGTTTCTCAACCAGGAATAATTTTGTAATAATGTCTCTGAGTGGACATTTGGCAATGTCTGTAGGCAATCTTGGTGTCACAGTTGTGGGAGCCAGGGGTGCTACTGGTATCTTATGGGTAGAGACCAGGGATGCTGCCGAACATTCTAACAATGCATAGAACAGCCCACTGTCACCCACAACAAAGATACCAGCCCAAATGTCAGTAGTGCCAAGGTTGAGAAACCCTGTATTTGAAAAGAGCAAAATGTAGTTGTTAAATGAGATTTTTATCCCATGAAATGATTCAGCATCATTGAATTCACTGTGAGGTACATTTTAATATAAAAAAAAAAAA